AGCTCGGCTCGTGCGAGCATGAGCCGAGCTCGTGTGGGTATGGGCAGTTGACATAGTTGGATCTCCGAGAATGTTTCTATCTCTCTGCACTCCCTCAAGGGATCTATAAATTAATAAATCTACGACACCTTCTCTTTCTTGTGGGTTGGAGTATGAATTCAATTCGTCAAGGAGTGGAGAGATTAACCGGTCTTTGGATTTTGAGCAGTTTAATTGCAGGAAGAGGATCGAGGAAGTTGGGATATTTGAGAAAACTAAACCAACTTCGAGGATCTCTAGCACTTATTCTAGAAGACTTGAGTGAGTTAGAAGACTTGGTTGATGCTCAGAAAGCAGAATTGAAAAATAAGATATACATTCAAGAGTTGAGCCGGGAGGTGGGGGTGGACATATTGGAGGCTCTTCAACCACCTCCAAACCTGCATTATTTAGGAATGAGTGGATACAAGGGCACCCAATTGCCAGTATGGATCACCACGTCCCTTAACTATTTAAGGGTTCTTAATTTCTCATCATTTAACAACTTCTCATATTTGCCCCCTTTGGGAAAGCTGCCGATGCTTGAGGAGCTTGAGATATCATTAATGGATAGCATGAATTTTTGGGAATAATGGAGACTATCCAGGAACTACCGAATGCGGGACCTGCATTCCCCAAGTTGAGGAAATTGAGTTTTAATACATTACATATTTCAATGGTTGGTTTGAAATTTGGTATTGATCGTTAGATGACTTTAATGTGTTGGTGGGTAGGAAATTTGGTTTTCATATATATTTTGAAATTTGGTTTTGATATATACTTTTCAAATTCAACAAGACATGAAATTTGCACAGGATAAAAACAAAACGACTTCTGACGTTTTAAAATATATTCAAAAGTAATTTCTTAAACTCATTAAACTACTTCTGACGTTTTAAAAACCATGTGAAATATAATATCAAAACTTAACAAATATAATATCATTTTCTATTCAAACAACTTATACAATATTTTTAAAATATCAATGGCTTAATTCATAATATATGACTTTTAACATATGACAAAAATTAAATATTTTAGTGGTTCATTTAAAACTTTTATTTTATTTCCTACAATTCTAATTATAATTCTAAAATGTAAAGAGGCCAATTCAGAATCTTAAATAGATTTGGACCTTAACATCAACTATAGACCATAATTTATTACTCGAAATGAGAATTTATTTATAAATGATTTTATTCGGACTATATTTACACTATTCTATAGTACCCTTAATATTAATTAACACATATGTACATGTATTCATTGAATCAGTTTATTAAGCTATTCAATTAGACTCATTCTCTAGATTAATTAATTAATCACATCTTATTTACTTAATAGATTGATAAATTTAATGAATCATGTGGTTTGTAGAGGTATTGTAGAAGGTTCTTATCGTCGCCATAAATTGCAATCTTCTCCACCAACAAATTTTGATCTTAATTATGTACACCGACAACAAATTTATCGGTACAAGTCTTTTAGCTCTTTTTTTTTTTTTTTTGCTTGTTTTCAATGTTTTCTAATGCAAATGACTAGGATAATGTAGATTCACTGCAACCTATGATGTCTATACAAACGTTGTACCTTTTAATTAATTGTGNAAGTTTCGAAAATTGTTGCTCACAAGGGTTAGTACATAGAGAGGAAACTTAAAATCAACTTTATTCTAATTATGACAAGAAAATATCCATTTTACCATTGCTACAACGGTTGGTAAAATTTACCAGTAGACTTTATTCATCGATAATTCCAAGAGCCAATAAATTTCTTTCAACAAGTTCACTTTTCGTTTTCACAATATCATCGATAAATGGTGACATTTTTTAAGATTTTGTATTTTTCACTAATAAATCCAACTTAGGCTACTCTATTTTTTTTAAAAAAAATTGACTTCACATGTTCACTTAACGGAGAAGATAGATGTAAATGGACAGAAAGGACTTTTGCGCAATCAAATGTCTGTTTAAGGGTAAAAATACAAATAAATGAAATGCAAAGACGTTTTGCACAATAATATT